TTTCCATTGAAGTGGTACCATTTAATTTAATTAATCAGGATACAGCTGGAAGGGACCTTGGAGGTCTTCTAGTCCAACCTCCTGCTCAAACATGAGACCCTATACCAGTGATGGCTAACCTTTTTCAAACTGAGTGGCCAAAGCATGTGCATGCGCACATTTTCAAAACACACCTGCACATGCACCCCACCCTCCCTGCATGTACCCCACCCCATACACAATTTTAAAAAGTTCAGATGGGGTGCCATTCTTCTGCTGCTGGGCTGGCAGGATCTTCCTCTGGGTTATATTTCAGAAAAAGACGTATTGGGAAATGTAGTTTCTTGTGTGGAATCCCTGAGTTCACCCAGGTCAAGGGTGTCAAACTCACGGCCCGTGGGCCAGATGCGTCACTCACTGCCCATGCCCAAACCCAATTTAGCAAAGGGAGGGGGGAAGTTGCGATACATCACATGATGCTGCTGTGATGACACAAGTTTGACACCCCTGATCTAGGTGAAATCTCTCCCAATTCTACTTTCTGTGAGTTGAAATTTACATGGGAGTTCCCAAAACGGTCAATCTCCAGCTACAGCAGTGGTTCTCAACCTGTTGGTCAGGACCCCTTTAGCCTAAGGCTATCGGAAAACACATATTTTCAATGGTCTTAGGAACCGAGACACCAATTTTATGGTTGGGGGGTCACTACAACTTGAGGAACCGTATTAAAGGGTCGCGGCATTGGGAAGGTTGAGAACCACTGAGCTACAGTATGTAGAATAACTCCAAAATCCTCCAGGCAAAATGGCTGTTGGTGAATTTAATATATCTGGAGGAGGTGGAGCTTAGTGTATTTTGATTCAGAGCCATTTTCAGGACACTAATCAACAACTTGGTTTATGTGTAAAATCATAGGGGTAACTTTATCTTTGTACTGAATCTCCTACCATTTAGTTTGATGAGTACATGACTTATTGAATGATGGGAGACTTCTCATTAGCCATACTTAGCACAATGACTTATTTAATTCTAGATAATAGGAGTTATGTTCCAATACATCTGAAGAGCATCTGTCCTGACAATAGGTATTGTCCTTCCTCCCTCCCTCCCTCCCTCCCTTCCTTCCTTCCTTTTCCATAGCTGCCCATCTCAAACGAATGACTTTGAATCATAAAACAGTTAAAAACGGTTACAACAACTGCAGGAGAAAAAAACTGTCACTCCTGATGTCAATATAGCCAGGAAATGGGGAGGGGGGCAGGTCTGGGCACAAAGACAGGTCTTCAAGACCTTATAATCTGCATTTGAAAAGGATGATTTTTAATCAGTATCCTTGTATACAGTTGTAGAGAGTAAAAATGACCTTGATGGAAATATGCAAGAACCATTACCTGGACAAGGCTTAAACCTTGAGAGAGAAGATAACATTTAAAAGTGGCTCAGAAAGATGCCTTCTTGGTTCAATATAGAAGTATAAGAATAAGGCATAAAACAGCGCAATCAGATTTCAGGATTCTATTAGGGTAGTTAAGAGATGCGGTGGCTCGGTGGCTAAGATGCTGAGCTTGTCGATCAGAAAGGTCGGCAGTTCAGCAGTTCCAATTCCTAGCGACGCATAACGGGGTGAGCTCCCATTATTTGTTTCAACTTCTGCCAACCTAGCAGTTTGAAAGCATGTAAAAATGCAAGTAGAAAAATAGGGACCACTTTGGTGGGAAGGTAACAGCTTTCCATGCACCCTTGGCATTTAGTCATGCCGGCCACATGGCCACGGAGACATGTTTGGACAACACTCACTCTTTGGCTTAGAAATGGAGATGAGCACTGCCCCTAGAGCTGGAAATGACTAGCATGCATGTGCAGGGAAACCTTTACCTTACCTTTTATTGGGGTAGTTATAATGTCCCTGTGGAATTTTTTTCCTGTTCCATCGATTTTGCAAGTCTCTTTCAAGAGAGGCTGAAGGTCTTGCCTTTGTTGGGTAGAGATAACCTTTGGTTCCCTCAGGCTATTCCATTCTCAATAAGCACTTTGCTGCAGCATTGCTGCAACACCAACAACAGACAGGTTTATGAATAACTTGCAAAATGCCATGAGGCAGCTAACGCAACCGTTGAGATAGAATTTAACTTGGCCAGCATCCCTTTGTGCAACTCGTCTTTCTTCACTCTCATGAGAATTCCAGAGATGATTGGAGGAGACCAAGACCAATTTCTGAACTTAATGGTTCAGTGTGGTCTATTTATGGCAGGCTGACCAACAGAATTCCCCACAGATTGCACCAAAGTGACTCCCATCCTGAGTTTGCTGAAAAATGGGTGGTCAGATGGGATACACCTATCATTAAGGGCAACAAACCAATGGTAGACAATTATTAAACACTTCATGCAAAGATTGAGAATCCCCTTTGATAATTTCATGAGACTCACAAACTCAAGCAAGGTCAGCAGAAAGTGTGGATGTATTGTATGTATAAATTTAAAATTATTTGCCAGAGATATGGGATGGAAAGTTCTGGTTCTGACTTAACCAATTTAGTGAGGGAGTTGCTGACAATTTGAGACATGAGTTGGTAAGACAAGGCACCCTAGATCATTTGAAAGAGCTGTCTACAAATGGGACATGCAAGTTCTAAAATTCTTGGTGGTGGAAAGTATCAATATTCATATTTTGGCATGCTGATCAAAGTCAAAGATTTTTTTTTTAATCGGCAAGCAACGATCACTGAGGGTTTCACTCCTCCATCAGTAGCCAATTCTTTTGATGTGAGTTGGTCTTTACTAGGCATGGCAGTCATTCATGAGGCTAAAATATTGTTCCTGACAAACTGATAACTTTGGCAGAAGAGTCACTTGGCAGCTTTCTCTCATTCTCAAGGTTTGATACAAGGCAATTATCTTTACAAAATAGATAATAAAATTTACAATTGATAGGGACAAAAAAGGGAAAAGAATTACAGTAATCTGATAATAAGATTATCTTATTTTAAATATCCAGGATACAAACAAAAGATAATTTTAACACAGGTCATAGTTTCACTCAGAAGGGGATTTATTTTGCAGAGGTAGCTCTTTATGTAAATTTTGAAAATGATGCAGTGAACCCACGATTTGCCTTACATTTAGGCAATGCAATCCTAAATTTATGTTTGTGTCAACAGATCAGGTTTCTACTTTAGATGGGTGACTTTGGGCCAGTCACTCTCTCTCAGCCCAATCACAAGGTTGTGTATATATATATACATACACATGCACACACACACACACACACACATATATATACACATACATATACACATATATACAACATATACAACACACACACACACACATATATATGTATATATATATATATATATATATAG